CCTATTATCCTAACCTCGGCTGCTGCGACGAATCGACCCCATGACTCGCGGCCCGATCAAGAAAGCAAATCCGCGCATAATATAAATATTCATCCCCGAATTTGGGGGACCACTGTTACGCCTCGATACCGAAGTGACATCTCACCACCTACTCCGACCTGAAAACGACCCTCTCGAAGCTTCTCCGAAGTGATATATCGATTTCTACTACTGATCTGCCGAAGCATCTCACCTCCGAGGTCGAGATCAAGTGGACCCCGGTTAGAAGATCCGCCGCCAATTTAAGATTTGTCCTGCACCTAAGGTTTAAATTGATTTGACGTCCCCATGAGGCTACTTGATGTAACTTATTAACTTTATGTCAATTCAACTCGGGGGAAACAAACTGTCCGCCCACTCTACAAGCGCGGCTGATTGACGCCTATGAGCAGACACTTCATACCGTCAGATGTATACACGCGTTCCATACCCCGCGGTTCATACCACCTATAAATACCCAAGGTTTGGCAAGAGGCAAAGGTAATGAAACTCTCAATACATAGCATTCCATAACAAGTTTATATATCCTCCTCCCCCCTTTATTGATTGATTTGTGTACCCCTGGGCACTGTTCCAACCACCCAAACCTGACTTGACCGTCGGAGTGTATGCGGCCGCCACCACCCCCGTCGGTTCCGACCGTGTACGCCTGACCGTTTGTTCATTACGCAGGGAGGAATACGTGGAGTAGCTATAAGTTTGCCACGTGGAGGAGCCATTTTTGGAGGTCAACAGTTAATATTGGAATATCATTGTCGCTGGGCCGATGATGCCCTTAACGCAGAAAGAATGAGAAAATAGGGGAGGGCAGCCATGGAAAATAGGCTTCTCATTTTTCTTGGGATATGGTAACTGTGTTTCATTGAGGAAGTGAGTGCTATTTAAAGAAATCAATACTCTCTCTGGGCCACTATTGAGTCGTTGGAGTCAATGCTTAAGCTCTATTTGTTTGAGCAAAGTGTACATACATGCTCAATAGTTAAAAAAAAAGGTTGAACCCCAACCTTGAGGGCTCCCCACCACCCCCTAGAGTATCGTGACGATGGTAAATTACGGGATATGCCCCAACAGGTTAGCGAATAAGAGTTTACCCGTACACTGGTGCCCACAAAAAGTCCAATTCCATATCTCAGAAATCGAACCCTCATATACATGCTCAATAGTTAATATTATTTTTCTTTGGTGTAGATTAAAAACAATTTTTTAGTAAATTTTAATAAAAGTTGATTAAAATTAATTATTGAGTTTGACTTGAAATTTTAGCCCCTGTTTGACATCCATTTTAATGAGTTTTATTGGGAAAATGAGTTCTGGAGTGGTATTTTTTTTTTCCCCTAAAGAATGTGTGATTAATAAGTAGCAAAAACTTTTGAATTTACACAATATTTTATCATGATTAATAAGTAGGAAAAAAAAAAAACACAGTGAGGGGCCTTGAAAGAAAAATCTGAATTTTCGGTGGTGCAACTAATCTTCCATGTAACATTTAAATGTGATGTTGAATGCACATTTCAATTCAATACAATTATTAGCTGCATCTAGAAGAACTTGAATTTTTAGAAGTCTTTCGACCCATTTCGAGCTCCATTTTTAAAATAAATTTTGTAAAACGTGATTTTTGGGGCAAAAAAATAAGTATAATTATCTTATTGAAAGAATATGTGGTTGAAAATATGTTTGAATAAAATGAGTCCCTAACAAACTATTAGCAACTACATGATAATAATATGAGTAAATCCATTTAATTTTGATTGTAGGTGAATTTTTAAAGTCAAAGGAATTAAAACTAACTAAATATTTAAGATTAAATCTACATTAATAGTTAAATGAAATATTTTCTCCAATTGTTAAGTACATTACTATTAAACTCATGCTTACATTGGTTGCATATTTTGAGAACTTGATATTAATACTCCAAATTTTGTGATCTGCCTCATTTGAGGCATCGCTAAAGATTAAAATACAATAAATAATTTGACCACGACAAACATACGTGTTAATATCGTGGTCAAATTGTCATATGTTAGACAATTTGAAAACTAACATTTTTTTTCTTGAATGACAAAATTGCATAATATTGTCTGTTGAGTGAGTATTGTTAGTGTTTTTAACCCAATTAACAAATATATATGATTTGTTCCAAAAATTAATAAAATAAAATAAAGTGATTATTTCGAAAAAAATCAAAGCCAATATGCTATTTGATTCATGGTCCTTGAACAAAGTCTACCATAATTTAGCTCAGACGTTCAATGTGCGACGGACAAGCGCATCGCCACAATGTACATGAACCGACATTATGTTGCTATTTCACAGTGAAGAACACAAAACTTTAAAACACCACCAAAATACATAAAATTCAGAAGTACTAATTTTTCAGATTAAATCGTTGAATAAGATAAAAATTCAACAATATAACCAAACTTGACAACTTAACTTGATCGCCTCCACAAAACAAGTTGATTACGACAGGCATCAATTTTCGAAACAAAGACTACTACTCGTGAATTCTTTCTTTGTTCTTTGCCTTGAGAGATTTCCTTGATCCTAGCTCGATTATCCAGCTTGACAAACCGTTTGAGATCCTCATATGGAAGAGTTTCCACGTCTTTTCTTCTTAGCTCGCTAAGAGCTAGGCGTTTATCGAGTAAGTGCCAGGCCCAATCAGGATATTCAGGGTCCGTCCCATCCTTCAGGATATTGGCAACAACAACTGTAGTGGATTTAACTTCTTTGCTCAATATGGATGCCTTTGGAGCATCTGCGGCAGCACCACCTTTAGAGCCTTTCTTTGCGTTACCACCAGTGGCAAATGTTCTTGTTGGGCTGTGATGCCATTTGATCCAGTCCAACTGTTAGGCAATGATGAAAAGGCCCAAATATGAATTTAATACTTGGTCCATTAATTATATACCTAGAAGGCCCACTTAACCGAGCCCAATATCTAGCCCACACATCTTAGTCGCTCTTGGACCGTTGGATTGACCCACTGATCAACGGTTGATGATATTACCTATAAATATCATCCTTAGCCCCTGTTTGGCTCTTGGATCGTCATTTCTATTTTCTATCTTTCTCTCTGCCTTCTGGAACCTTCGTGTTCTCTATCTTCGTGACCCTTCCTTCTTCTCTTTGTGATAATCGTGTTCTTGTGTGATTCTCCTTTGTGTGAGTAATCAACCAAAGGTAGGCAGTCTTTGTTTTGGTTCCAGTGAAGTGACCTTGATGTGTTGGGTTGTGAGGGCTTGTGTTTGAGTCTCGGTGTC